ATTGATATTCAAACCTGCTCACATAGCTGATGCCCATATTTTAAAGCCTAGTGATTTCCAATCTGGATTGTTGGTCTGGGTGAGGAATGAATCGAGAGACCTAAACAGTTTCAGGGTGGTATGGGTCCGGGCTCAATTCCCATTTAAACACCACCAACTCCCACACCCACCCCGTAGAGGCTCCAAGTTTTATTTATTTTATTGTTATTCTTAAACTTATTTAATATTTTTTTATTTCCCCTCTAAATCTCCACCCTATGAAACCCTCTTTTAATTTTAATTTAATTTTATTTATTTAATAATATATTTTTTGGATCACTAGTTTAGACTGTTTCAGACCGATCCGAATCACCAATCCAACATACCGATATGGATATGTGAGTTGAGTGATTACCAATCGACCTATTTTAATACTTTCTTGGGAGTATTAGTTGGAAAGGAAGGGGTAGTGTTGGTCTTTAGGGAACATAAAACTAGAGAACCATTCAATTGGGTACTCTTTTTATATTTTTATTTTGAGGGGGCATCCGTTACATCTTTTATTTACCTTTTTTTTTTTCTAGGGAAATGATGTGCAAAAATTAAAATGCTCCGCTAGGGGTGGCCATGCAATTTCTTTATTTTTTTGGAATATCATGTAAGATGTGGGTAGGGTGCATATCTCCACGTTCAGGGAATATTGTCATTTTAGAAGATTTAATGTGATATGTTTGATAACAGAAAATCCGCATATCAAAGGAAATTTGTCATTTTGGGGGATGGGATATGAGAATCTCGTGGAAAATCTTGAAATAAACCTCGTAAAAGTGCAATATCGTATTTTTGTGGATCATGATAGGTGATGATAGGTAGGAAACTAAGTTTTGTTCCTTTGGCTTGGAAGCAGTGTTTCAAGAACCAGACCGGCTAGGTAAATCTGGTCTAGATCAACGAATCAGACTGATTTTCCAATGTGAGAAACGATTCAAAATAAATAAATAATTTGAAAAAAATAATATTAGAAAATAATAAAATATATAGTGGGTGGGAAGTGGATGATTCAGCTTGATGGAATACGTGAATCCATTTGAGCCAGTGTAATTCCCTGTTTCTACAAAGAAACGATTCAATAGAGTCCCATCTCCAATTCGAATCGGTAATTCCTGACCCAAAATGCCTTTTTTTTTAAACACTACTTGAAAGTGAAGATTAGTGCAGGGAATTAAGATGTGCTTGGATTATTCTGCACACAAAGTGAGGTTATCAATTTAGGGATATTGCATATTAGCATAGACAAAGGAATGCTCCCCGAGAAATGGGGTTGAGGTCATGGCGGTAGCACTACATGAGCTTTAGCTATCGGTATAGGCTTTCATTCCTACTAATGTGTTTGTAAACCACGAATGATTTCTAAAAACACGTAGGAGCCTGTATTCCCCACAGATCTACTAAAACAATAACAAAAAAAAAAGCTACATATACATAAACATGTAGAACCGATAAAGCTTTCTACAAGAACGTTGTCTGGGAAATCATGATCTTGAAGGTAGCCAAAATATAGGATCAAAGAGACAATTTTTAAAAAATTTGAAAAGGGAATCAAAAGGCAAGAAAATCAAAGATAAATAATAAAGTGGGAAATCAAGAAGAAAAATTTGATCAAGAAAAAGATAAAAAAAAAGGGAAAGGAGAAAGGGAAAATACGCCAATAGTGTAAATTAAAGGAGGCAAATAAAACAATGTTTTGTCCACCAAGCCCTTGGTCTAGCTTGAACCACCCGGTTTTGCACCAAAAGCATCCAATCTATGAACCATTCTCTTCCACACAAAACAAACCTAACCCATGAAAAAGAACCAGAAAAGAGAACCAAAGTTTCAAAAGGCTCTTTTGGACATGTGGGGGCCTCCCAAACAAGTGTACATAGAGAACATTTCTTCTCAACCTCAAACAATGGTTTTCTAAAGATGTGAAGACAAGGTTACACTTTTGTGAGAGAAGAAGCTTCCTTTAAACTTTAAATGCCTCTAAGCCAACCGTTCACCCACTTTGTTCTTGAACCCACTGTCTATTTTTAAAATCCAAACAAGTCATTTGTTGCCATATTCTATAGTAAAAACTCCATATACTAAACCTCTAAAGCATCTTTGAACAAGAGGGATAGACAAAACTGAAGAAAGAGGTGATGTCCTCTACAGACATTTGGCAATTAAAACCCACCATGAATGTAATACAAAGAAAATAACAAAAAGAATTGTATAATGTAAGACTGTTTATCTTTAGTACAAAAAAATCACAATCGCCTGTAACCATCATATGTGAAATCTAGCAGGTAAAAGAATATCATAGAGTTTCAAGAAAAGCTTTTCTTGCGCATTGAGCTCTGTCAATGTGACACTCCCAAGAGACTTAAAGGAGGAAAACAATACATGAAGATAAACGAAATTACCTTCTTGTTTTAGGGGTCAAGCTCTTCCTTATGAAGGTTAGCTCACTTAAAGGAGGAAAACTAGACAAGTCACTCTTAAGAGAAAACGGGACCTGCTTGTAAGCTGTCCACAAAAGAAAATGAATAAAGGGGGCTACTCTCTTACTTAATATGAGAATAGGATGGCAAGAGAGATGCCTAAGCTGCCTCTTGTTTTAAGGAGGGGAAGGGTGGCCCTACCCCCTCGTTAGCACTCCTACAAAAAGCTCAACTTATAGCTATTCTTCCATCACATCTAACAATAATTGTGACCTTCATGTACCAAAGGTAAATGAGATGATGCTTTTTTAGAAAGTATGAACATGACATGTATATACCCTAAGAAAGTGGCAAGTCTAACTAAAATTTAGCTTAATGTTAGAAAATTAGTGGACCATAGGCTTCACACTATGAATCATTTCACAATGGAGGATGCTCTATATCTGACCAAATATCCTTAGAGAGCATTTATAGAACCAACATAACACTTACAAAATGAGACAAGAGAGCAACTAAAAGCCTGTGCACAACCTCTCCACTCCAATTTATATCCAAGCATTCATTGAGACTGCATGTTACATCATTTAGACTTAGGTGATTACCATAACACAATTGGAAGTTGATTCACTAAATTTTAGCCTCAACTACTGTTTTGTAATCCTAGATTCCTATATATCAAGATAGGAATATTTAGGCGTTTCCTATTCAAACCATGTCTTCCTATGTCCAAAGATAATAATATTTAGTAGTTTTCTATTTAAGCTTTGCCAGTTTAGTAAGGAATCTAGATCAGGTGGTTGCTGTTGGATAAGAGGGAAAGGCTGGCTTCTTAGAGATGGATATGAGAGCAAAGGCTGGCCTTCTATGTATTAAACACCCCTCCAACTTCAAAACAAATGATTGATGTGTAAAATCTACAAATGCTGGGGTCCAAATCACCATGATTGAGTGAGTGGGGCCCAAAGATTTTATTCAATCATGTATTTCAAACAATCGGGCATTTTAATATTGCTGAGAAGCTTCAACCCTAGGAAATAATGCTAGAAAAGATTTAGCTTATATCATGAATAACAATAATGGCTGTATTCAAATATTAGCTTATATCAGGAATAACAATAATGGCTATATTCAAACATTAGGGTTTCCCTTATTTCTATTCTTGAGCCAGAGAAGCTGGGATCACATCATTGACCTTTGAGATATGGGATTCAGCTCTATATGGTAAAGAATGAACCGCGTTGGCGACCAGCACAAGGGTCAAGCAATAGAACAACCAAGGTTGTAAAGCACTGTCATATTCCTCATCCTCATGTGAATCCAAAAAGGTCTAAACTGTATACTAGTGCTGTATTATCATAAATTTCTGAACCCTAGACCCTATGCCAACTAACCTAGGAAAACAAGATGCCTAGTCTTCAGTCTTAGAAAGAAAAAGAGGACTCTTGTGCAAGAAGTGGTTATGCACTATTTTAGATTGGACTGCTTTTAATTAGGAAAGGGGCTGTTGTTTCTATTCCTACCACTAACACCACCTTACTAGTATCTTTCAAAAGTACGACTCCTAATCTATGGAAAAAAAATGAGTTGGGACTTGCCTTTCCTACTTAATTACCCAAAAAAAGACTACTTTCTATAAATCTCTATATCAAAACACCGATAAACAATGTGGTTGATAGAAGGAATACACTCATGTACTCTACATGGTTTAATAAATCTTTTTTGATGAGGCGCATTGAATAAAAATAATATCAAATAATCTCTCTCTATATATATATATGTGTGTGTGTGTGTGAGTTTTTTTGGGGGAGGGGGGGGGAGGGGGAGAGGTTAATAAATCTTGCTTTTGAGGGGCATTCAAGAAAAACAAACCAAATGACTCTCTCTTTCTCACATTCATATTAACATAGTAGAAATGAAACCCTTGTCATCATATTGGGGATCTGTCATACAGACCACTAAACCCAAGAGCGCATTTGTAGATCAGATACACTCTCTCTTTTTTTTCTCTGTCTAACCTGTTAACAGAGTAGGAATGAAACTTTAATGTATGTTGCAGATCTATCGCTCTTGAATCCCAAGGCCAAGGGCATATTTCTAGATTAGATACCCTCTCTCTCTCTTTCTCTCTCTCTCATCTGCACGTGCCCCGTTCGCATGCAGCATGAATAAAGTTCAAGAATAAGTGTTTGCTTTCCTTAAGGTTAGTGAATATATGAACATACTCTCTCTCTCTCTCTCTCTCTCTCTCTCTCGTTTCACAAGATGTGTTTTCCATAGTAACATCACTCTCTCTCTCTTTCCCCTCCCCACCCCCCTACAAAAGGGATAATTGGAATGCGTACGCCACAGTTTGTGAATCTTTAAGGAACAGGCTTCAATGAATGAATGTAGGTAAAATAGTGAAGCTGGGACACTGCCATCATCCTCTTGGCAATCCAGAAGGACTAAAGTTATCAGTTTCTCGCATTTATTGAAACCCAAGGAAGCATACATTAATGAACACAGTGAGAAATAGTCAATTGGACCTATGATCCACAATTATTATTGGTACAACTGTAAAAAGGCTGGCACTTAGATAATCAAACTATGCACTTATAGTCATCTCATATAGTACAAATAATGGTACAATGTTTGAATTCCCATTGAAACAAACAGGAACTTTCATGGTTGTTTCAAAAGTCTCTCTCTATCTAACAAATAGTAACGTGTCTCTTGAAGTTACAAGCTTCTCATATTGGAGAAGAAAAACAATGCCTCATAATAAATGGCAAGGAGAGAGAAAAAAATTAAACAGGAGAGAGAGTGAATGTACAAGACCTAGGTCGGAGGTTCTTAGTCCAAGGAAAAAAAAGGCCAAAAGGGTGTGTCCCATGTCAAAATCTCGGATATTGGAGGAGGGTGGCCATGTGTTGCCATGACCAAGACTCAAGCTTCTGTCTCTTGAAGAAGCCACATGCCCTCTCCATGAGCTCTCCCTTCTTCACTTTCTTTGTGGGGCACCTCAACAACCCTAAATATGTGTCCAAGTCATGCACACAAGAGAAGCTCTTCCCATTGAGGGACTCAAGAGGCAACTCTACACCCACATGAGTATAGCAGTTATCACCCCCCAAAACAGTAAAATTCTCATTGAAAAACATACCAGGCAACTTTGTTATAGGGTCACTAACATTCACAACTCTCAAAACTTTCACCCCAAGTTCCTCACACCTCTCTCTAAACCCATGGTTCCCAACCCTAGGCCCTCCATAAGAGAAAACTGTGATGGGTATCTCCACACCTCCATTTATGGGCTTATTAAGCTCTAATTCCCCTATATCATATGCCAAAAGCATGGCTAATGAGCTTCCCATGCTGTGTCCAGCTAGGGTTATACTCATCTCTTCCTCAGAACCATACTTACTAATGAGCCTGGAAATCTCAGACAGGAGTTGCTCTCGACAGCTGCCGAGTCCGAACTTGCAGGATTCGTCGGTGCTTGTGTAAAGATTCAGGAACCCTGACTCGACCTTTACGTCGGGCCTCGGGTTATGTGGGTCGAGCCTAGCCGGCGTCAACGAGCTCATAAAATTAGCTAACCATTCACTTCGAGTGACTGTTCCTCTGAAAGCCACTATTACGTCCCTTCTGCCAAGCTTGCGCACCGAGCTGTCGGTCGATACTGCGATATAGCCCACCCACCGTCCCATGCAGGCGGGGCTCACCCCAATTGGGAAATTGATGTCCGCCGACGCGTATATGTATTTGGTAATCTCGTAACCTGAATTTTGGAGACCCACTTTATCGAGCAGCTGGGTACGACCGTATTTGCAGTTGCAGTGTCTCTTAGAGTTGGGGTCCAGATCGAAGGCCTTGTAGCACGCATCCACGAATTCGCCGTATCGAATCAGCTCGGATCTTAGGCTTGGGTCAAGTGGGTCAAGGAGATTGTCCCAGTTGTCCGAGCCATGGGTCATGTGCCATGGCTCAGGAGGTGGGCTCGGGTTCGACACTTTGGGCTCAACTGGTTTTAGCGTCTCGGTGGGGGTTGATGTGGAGATGGGGGCATAAAGTGAGGGTTGTAGGTCGAGACGGGGCCAATCCAACTGGGTTCGGTGAGGACGTGAGAGACGGAGGTCCGGCGAGGCGATCGGTGCGTTCGGTGCAAGTATTTTTGCAGATGCCATGAGAGAGCCAGAGAGAGAGAGAGAGTAGTCACAGATGGGAAACAGGAAGCAGAAAGTATCAATTCCTAGAGAGAGAAAGAGAGCAAGCTTGAGAGAGAGAGAGATTTCTTGTGGGTAGGAAGCAGGGAGAACAGAGTACCACCAATTTTAGAGAGAGAAAGAGTGAGTGCTTGTAATTGGGGAGCAGGTTGAAGAAGATACCTGCACCTTTGGGGAGAAGAGAGAAGGAGAGAATAGATTGTAGAGAGAGAGAGAGTGCACACCCAAAGTGGAGAGGTCGGAAATGGAGGGGAGTTTAAATAGGTGAATAGTGGGCTTTTTTCGCTATAATTTTTATTTTGTCGATAAAAAAATTCGGAGCATGTTTGGCAAGGTTTTTGACTCGGGTTTCCAAAGGAAATATTTGTTAAATGACAGATTTGGTCGGTTGGGGCTTGTTAACGGAAAACCTACCCAAATGCCCACGCATTCCCTGTTAATATCGAAAATATATACTTGTACGTCATAAACCATAGGCAAAAAGAACAAATGTTCCCAAAAAAGTGCCCAAATTGCCCCCCAAATATAAAACTTCAATTCTTAAAAAGTCACAGCCAAGAAACTATTACTAAAGTTATTATGAAGGAAAATATGAACCCCATTTCATTATTTTTAATTATGTGAGAGTCAAATAGCTCTGAGTTGAACTTGGAGAATTGGTTGGTCCTATCTGAATTATTTGAACCTTGGGTGGGATGGTGAGACGTATTTTACTACAATCACGTCTATCTAATTTTATAGCGTACTTTCTTAATATAGTAAAAGAGTAATGATCTTATAAGACCTTTATCCACTTATGTGTGTAGGATCTTAAAAGATCGTCATTAAAATTGACACGGATCTCTAAAAAAATTATCATATGGATGTGAGATTTGACTTTTCTATAGATTTATGTCAAATTTAATGGTGATCATTTGGTGTCTTATACACATAAATGAAGGAAGGTCCTATAGGATTATTTCTTATAATAAAAAAGTGATTAATTAGCCAAATAAACTTTTTGAATTCTTTTCAAAAAGTGATCCAATTAGCAATCCAATTGATCGATATGGTCTTTTAGATTGAGATTTCAATAAGGTGGGTGGCCGGTCCATCCGACCAATCTGATTATAAAAATCCTAACCCAAACAACAGGCTTATGTTGATTAAAAGGGAAAGAGAAAGTGTCATCACTTCAATGTCAAGTCATGTTCTAGACTGAGAGACCCATCACATGTCTCTCATTCACTAGCCATCTATTGACCATCTATTAAGGAGATGACACATATGATCATAGTTTTCTATTAGGGTTAACTCAATTTGTCACTCCATTGAAAATCTAGTGAGGCCATGACACACATAATCATAGTTTTCTACGAGGAAAAAAAACATCATAGCAAATTTTCAATCCCTTCGATATTTAACACTCGTAAAAATTCCACTACTATGACTTCCAAAAATTAATATATTTTGACATCTCTCCATTTTCTCTTGTGGTTAGGTAAGGGGGAGGGCCAACTATTTCGCGTGTATTCATGGGAAAACAGGGTCCAAACCGAAATATTTAGTTGAAAGAGGGGTGTTTTGGTTGGACGTCAGCACCTGTTGGGGGTGGCTATCGTTGTTGCGGCCCAGTAGATAGAGGGCAGTCCACGTATGGTTGACGCTCAATTTCACTATAAATTTGTGTGCACCGCCGACCTCTCTTTCTCTCTCTAAAAAAATTTCTTTCTCTAAAACTTTATATCTCCGGCCCTTACCTTCTCTCTCTAGATTCTCATTTCTCTCTTTCTCTCTCTCTCTCTCTCTCACTTTCAACGCGGTGCGAGGGCCGGAGGAGGGATCTGGGCCTGGAGTAACTTCTTTTCTTTTGGGAGTTGGAAAAAGGACAAGGATTTTTTGGAATGCAATAATTCCGATGATGACCGATGTGCCCCTCCTCTCTCTAAATTCCCTTCTCTCTCTAAGCCCCCTCTCTCGCTTTCTCCCTCTAACTTTCTCTCTCTAAAGCTCCTCTCTGCTTTCTCTCTCTAAAGCTACCGTTCTTCTAACAACTTTGCGGTCGAGATTTTCGGCCTGTTGCATTCAGGTTTCCGTTTACACCTGGTACGCAATTAAAGACTAAATACGTACAAACGGAAGATAGATATAGAGAGAGAGAGAGAGTAATAGGTCAAATCCATTTATTCTTGTTTTAGAGAGAGAGAGTAATAACTCAAATCCATATATTGTTGTTAGAGAGAGAGAGATGAGTTCTCAACCTTGGGTTATGCCTTTCATGAAAAAGTGAGGTGAATTAGTTTTGGGGATGACATTTGATAATTTTATTGGAAAATCATTTGATTCATATGGGGATGCACTTATTGGAGAGCATCCCATATTAATAGTATAAAATAAATAAATAAATATAGTTATTTACTTATTGAAAAATATTTATAAAAGTGTCAGGCTCTAAACAATCAATTAAGGAGCATCCTAAGAATTTCATTGGAAAAGGTTGTTTTGACGCCTAAAGATCCTCAAATTGATCATTTGGGCCTCAGGATGCATGGTCATGAGAAAAAAATGAATTTCAAGTTTTCAAAATAGTGCATCTTATAATACATTTTTGGACCGTCAATTTTCAAGAGTTTCAAGTTTTTATAGATCTACTTGATGTACACTATTTTTTAAGCTTTAAAATTTTATAATTAATGGTGAAAATATATTTAAGGCTCTCACAAAAATTTCCAATATTAAAACTGCATTTCTCGATACTATTTAAAGATGCGTTTTACTTTGATTGTTTAGAGCCTATGCCCTATACAAAAACCGCACCCTTTATGGGAAAGTGAGGTGAATAGGTTTTGGAGATCGAATTTGAGAATTTTGTTAGAAAAACATTTGATTCATATGAGGTGGACGGCATCCCCATGTGAATTGTGTAAAATAAATAAATATTTATTTATTAAATTATTAAATATCAAGAATATTTGTTTGATTTATATTTTTGGGTTAATGGTTATCAACTATTATAAAATCACTAAAATTTTGGATTTAAAATCTATTTCTAAAATAGATTTTAGAGGGAGGACAAGATGTAAATGGATGAGTCACCAACATTATCTAAGCCAAAAGTTATTTTAGCATGTTCATTTACTCTTTCAAGTAAAACCCACTGAGGATTAAGGGAAAAGTTTATATAGAGCTGAGGCTCTAATTATAGGAGGTTGTATTAATGCCCAAATATCTTCAAATGGATCATCTTGACGTCAAGATACATTGACATGATAAAAAAGATGGGTTTCAAGTTTTGGAAATAGTGTATTTTGTAACGCATTTTTGGATTGTCAATTTTCAAGATTTTCAAGTTTTCATAGATCTGTCAATCTACACTATTTTTTAAGCTTTAAACTTTATAAATAGATATGAAAATATATTTTAAAGGTATCGCAAAGATTTTCAGTATTGAAACCACAATTCTCGACACTATTTGAAAGTAGGCTCTAATTTGATTGTTTAGAGCCTAGGGTGTATATACAAACCGTACCCTAGAATTAATTTTAGGATCCCAAAATTTGGGAATGTAATCACTTCAGCCAATAGAATACCCTCAATAAAAAAAAAAATCCTAGTCGTACCCTCTATCCACTTTAAAAAAATAATGTCTTGAGATTGGATAGAGACTGTCCAATTTTTATATGGTGACATCTAGGTGTAGAAGACTCAAATTTTAATTATTATTTTTAGAATAATCATCTAGTAATTCTTATATGGTTCCCAAAATTCCAGATTAAAAAAAAAAATCCCCCCAAATAGATCCTTTAATTGAGAGAGTAGAATCTATGCTCCCTTAGGAGGAGGTATAAGTGCTCTTTATCAATATTTATTTGCTTTTTACATTCAAATAAGTTGTAGAGAGAGATAAAGTATAGTGATAAAAAGATGATGAATGTCTCTCAAAGAGTGTTTAAAAAACTCAATCGAGTTCAACTCAGATTCAGTTGAGTTACTCTAGTTGAGCAGCTTGTCGTGTCTAAAAGGTTCCAATTTATTAAGACTTATCCATCCAAAATATCGTAGCAACTCGAGAGAGTCCACATGAACTCTCTAATACATAAACATCTTTTAGATAAAATGAGCGATCCACCGCTACATTTAACATTTTATTTATCGTTTGGGATCGGATCTCTCTCAAAGTTCGAAACTGGGGATATTTTTTCCATAATCTATCAAATCCAAACATTGAATTTTATGGAAAACATAAAAAATCTCATACTTGTTATTTTATTTGAATTAAGTTTTGGCCAAAGTCGGTTTCTTGAGCGATTTCTTGGGCAAACCGTGCACATTCCAACCAACAATCTCATTTTTTTTTCTATATTTTTGTGTTATTTATGAAATCCAAGGTTTAGATTCCACAAAAGCCACTCAATATATTGTATTTTGTGATATTTTGTGATATTTTGAATATCGAAATAAGGTTGTGCTCCAAATTTCAATCACTTGGATCTAGATCTGAACTTGAGACTCAAATCTAGTTTATAGATTTGGATTTGGGACATTTGAGGACATATTCATAAAAATTAGAGGCTTTGATTCAGTCAATGTATCTTTCAGAGGATAGGCAATGAAACTTTGGGTGAGGGAAACTAGAATATTTCCTGAGTGTATGCCAATAAATTTCACTATTCATAAATTTCACTATTCATCATTTTCTATTTTCCTTAATTATTTTTGTCTTTAAATTTATCAAAACTTTTAGATTTCTTTAGTTGTGTTGACGGACGCAACGAGTCCACTCAGGACTCACTAGGCAGATTGCTTCAAGAAGTTACCGAGTCCAGGAGTGTATCTTGGTTTTAGAACACTGCTCCTTATTAGTGTTTCAAAATTGAGAACTAGGCCCTTAGGGTCTGATTCCGGTCTGATTTGGGTGATTTTCGAGCCAAATAAGACTACGTTCAACAAAAAAATTGAAATTGAAATAACCTCAAAACCCAAAAATTAGAGTTCCCAGCAGTGTTTATCGGGAAGCAAATGATTTGGCAGATGCATTAACTAAAAAGGGATTCTCTTTTCATGAATGGGTGATTGCGGATGATGAACAATTAGTGTTGTAATTTCATATTTGTAATCTATTTTTTTTATTAATAAGAAACTTCGAATATTATCTAAAAACAACAACAATCTTGATTCAAATGAAACGATTTTGAGTCAAGTCTGCAATTATTAATCACAGTTGCAAAGCTTTG